GGGGGGGGGGGGCACACACTGAAAGCCAACAAAGAAATGAGAAGCAGCAGCAAAAGGCAAATGAGCAAATCAACCAGGATGAAGCAGGAGGAGAAGGAAACAACAGGAAAACGGACAGAGGACAAAGGAGAAGAAAAGGAGAGGTGCACAATACAAGACACCACAGCAAGAGGAGATACACACAGGGAAGTGAAAGACAGCAGTGTGCGGTTGTGTGGGACACTACAGTCACTGATTAATCCATGAAACATTTTGTAGCATGGTGACTTGTACTACATACTAACAAGAAGTACCTGTAGCCCCTGTTATAATCAGCCTTCCCCAACCTGGGAATCTTTACATGTACTGGACTATCACTCTCCAGATCCCAAGCCAGCCTGGCAGTGCTGGTGATGGACGTCAAGAGTTGTAGCCCTGCACATCTGGAGGATGCCACAAGGGGGGGAAAGCTGGTTTAAATCTTCAGTAACAGACACAAAGAGAACATGTTGTGACAGGCAAGTCTCAAGGTTACAAAAGACGGAAATATTTTTGTTGCATTTAAATTTTGGCAGAGGAGAAAATTGCAGTCCTCTTATCAGAAGATATTTCAGGGAACATGTTCATGTCCTGAAGCTTACTTGAACGTCTCAGTAAACTTAAGTGCAAGGTAAATAACAAAGGGAAGTTGTGCCAACTTAGCAACTGATTAATGCCTTCATGAGAGCTGGCCAACTAATATTAACTAACTTCAGTTTTTGTGGGGGGAACTATCATTGCAAAATAGCACAGCTGGCGCATCGACCGGTCTTAATGCTTCTTACCTACAAGCTAGATTGAGAGTCTGAGGCAGTGCAGATATACAAGCTACATTAGATATAATGTCCCCATCCTACAAAGGCTGCTGGTGATATTGTGAATGCATAAGAATCAGTACTCAGCTGCCTGCAAGAGAACCCACAGAACTTTGCAACTAAAGAATAATTCATATACACTCAAGGAATAAAAACGCAGACTTATTTTACATACAAGAGTTAGATGGCACACCATTTCGATCTTATGATGTGCAATCTCTTCTTTGATCTCTGTACCAACCAACTGTGGGAAGCCAGAGTTAACCATAACTCCCAGAATCTGTGAGCACATAGTAAAAAATAAGCCTGCACATTCTTGGGGGGGGGCACTAACATCATGGGTGCATGAAATATACATGGATGTACATGCTAAATTTAAAACAATGTGAAGTGCATATTCAAGAGCGTATTGAATCGAAATAGATATTTGTTGCAAAAAACGAAGTATTTAAATAAAAATGGGAAAATTAGATACTGTACCTGCCAAAGCCCAATAAGCTGTGCCCACACATTCATTCAACAGCACAAAAGCCACCAATGACATCCCACCGTTCATTACTCCCACGAAGAAGCGGGAGACTGCAAAGAACTCATAAGACGGGGAGAATCCATTAGCAACAGCAAACACAATGTCAAGGGCAAAACCTAGAAGGCAAGAGAAAATTCTCCTTTAGAACTACAAGGCAAAGACTGGTTTGTTTTTCCCTCTATTTGCTAACACTGAAACCTTTTAAAGTTCTACGGGGCAATGAAATTAGGTGTTAAAAATCCCATACTAGCTTCCTACTAATAACAACTTGCATAAAAGTTCATCACACTACAATATCTCTTATTCAGTTCACTTCATGCAGTGGTTCCTAACTTTGGGTCCCCAAAAGTTCTTGGGCTACAGCTCCCAGAAATCCTGGCCAGCACAGTTAGTGGTGAAGGCTTCTGGGAGTTGTTGTTCAAGACATTTGGGAACCCAGGGTTGGGAATCACTGACCTAATGGGAAAAGATGGTCAATAGTAGCAAATGGAGCCATTAATAGCTAATGGAGTTATCTATTTTAACAGCCGTAACTCAAATAATCCCTTAGTTCAGTGGTTTAGGCATCTGATTGTGGAGCCAGAGGTTGGGAGTTTGATTCCCCACTGTGCTTCCTTGACAGGAGATTGACTTGATGATCCATAGAGTCCCTTTCAATTCTGCAGTTCTAAGATTCTAACAATATCCTTAAAGAGGTTTTGATCAAATACTACCTGGTAGCCATTCCCAGGGGACAATTCTGCCATAGCTTCAAGAAGCTGTGGCATCACCTAAACACCTGAGCCAGGTTTAGAAAGGTTGCCACTATACATTTATATCCCTTCTGGGATAGGAAGAGGCAGAAGCTGAGGACCAGTCTGAGATCTGCAGTGCAAAAGAGGCTATCCCCTCCCCCCTGAAACCATTGTTTCCAACCAAGTTCCCTGATGGCCAGACAGTGGACAACTACTAGCTATTTCTGTATAAATCTTCAGTGAGATTCATGTTCAGTAGGACCCCTTTATCCACAAGGAATATGTTGCAAGTCGTGGATATGTGGATGGGTAAGAAGGAAAGTGCTGCTTGTTTCAAACAACAAAAAAATCCAAATTATCTAAGTAACAAATGTTTAGCTGCCATGTTTTGTTTTGCTTCAAACAACTATGTTAGATTTATAGTGCTATAAGAACATAGCTACCCTACTGAGGCATGACCTGTTGACTCAAGCAATATCTCAGATTACAATGAACCACAAAAGAAACTATCCTTTATCAGCAACTATCCCCAATGTATTAGAGGAAGGTAGCAACTTCCATAAAAACATGAAAATAGAAACCTTCCATATGTGAAGTACTGACTATAGACTATTTCAATATATGTCTCTTGCTGAAAACTTATTGAAAACAAGACATAACACATTCTGCTATATCAGAATTTTGTCAGCCTTTTCATTGCCTCTCACACAATTTATTGATTGAACTAACCAAGAACTATTCAAGTTTTCTATCTTTTTCTAACACTACTTACCTACAAGATAGACTTTCTTTCGTCCAAAATGATCCGAGAGTTGTCCAAAAGTAATTACTCCCACAAACACACCACAGAAGAAAAATGAGCTAGCAGCACTGATCTTGTATGATGTATTGCCAATTAAAAACCACTAGGTGGAGAAAATGCAATGGTGTTAAGAGCCCAATAGAAGGACAAGAGTTTCTCAAAATATAGAAACATAATTTAATGGGATAGAAATTAAACAGTATTCAAGTGCAACTTTCCTGCTTCTTTTATATTCTACCTGGCATGCATATTGTGTACCCAACACATGAATTAAACAAAATATTATATTTTCCTGATGCAAAATAAAACAGATTACAACTTGAACTGCTGGATAGCTCAGTGGCTGGCTGAGGAGCCAGAGGTTGAGAGTTCAATTCCCCACTGTGCTACTACTACTACTACTACTACTACTACTACTACTACTACTACTACTACTACTACTACTACTACTACTACTACTACTACTACTACTACTACTACTACTACTACTACTACTACTACTACTACTACTACTACTACTACTACTACTACTACTACTACTACTACTACTACTACTACTACTACTACTACTACTACTACTACTACTACTACTACTACTACTACTACTTTACTGATTCCTAGCTGTAGAACATATCTGCATCTCTACTATCCATGCGTCGTACACAGAAAATAATCCAGAACTAACCCTGAGGACAACAAGCATCCTTCATGAATTGAATACCACACACGGCAGATCACATTCTACAAGTTCAATTGCACAGAATTATGCAAAACAATACAAAATTACACCAATGTTATTTAAGCTAACACAACAAATTTAATCTATTAAAGGCAAATTTGTTTCACCTTAAAAAGTGTCAATCACATGTAGGTTTTGGTCAGTGGAATATGGGAAACAGAACCTGATTTTGGCAGGCAGAGAGTTTGGGAATGAAGACCATGGAAAATAACTCAAGAGTTTACTGGAACACTGGTGGCTTGACCACATGGTATAATACACTAGAGTTTACATGGTTTGCAAAGTAGTAAGCAAACCTCTGTTCTCCAGAGCTTTCTTCAGGGTAGACAGTAAGGAAAGTTAGAAATTTAAGCAAAATCAAAATAAGGTTATATTATGTTTCCATGATTTTGTTTAAATTTCTAACACCAAAGTTTTATTGTTTTATTACCTCGGAAGCTATTGATGTAAAGTTGCTGCTAAAGTGCACATGTTTCTGAACTTCACTTCCATTTGCTGTTAGCAGCCACTTTCCAAAAGATCCTTCTTCATTAGTTGACTCATTGTTGCGACTCTGATTAGCTAAAGTCCCTTCAAGGTCCCAGTGGTAAGGGGGTGTTGCTCCTACTAGTGCAATGAGGATTGCTTCACTGGCTACGTAGAGCTAAAATAATAAGAAGCAGATTCAAGATCAATTTCAATACTAAAACTAAAAACAACATTTAGTCACTCAAAGAACAATCTCCACGATCACACCTACACAGAAGCTCTCTTTCCATTCAGCACTTAAGACTTATCTGTTTAAATTCTTTGTAGGTCGTTTTAGAATTGTTATATCCACCATGATAATTCATAGTGGCCTTGACAATCATCTCTCAGTTATTTAAACAACAATACTTCAGCTTATTAAGAGACACACAGGGCTTTCTGCTTGCACATAAAGCCCCAAACCAGGAATATGTAACTATAGTTTACCAGGGCTAATGGAAAGAAAAACTAGGTTTAATTAGAGGCTTCCTGATTTGCTTGCACTGCAAAGGGGTAAGAAAAAGAATTCTGTGCATGTGTAAAGAGTTGACTTTTAATAAGCAGAGACAATATCATGAAAAATATAGCTATTATGTACCAAATGAAAAGGGAAATAATGGGTAAGAGGAATATTTTAGATTTGCTTGCAACACAGAAGAATCAATAAAGGTGAATGCATAAGCAAAAGCCAAGGTATGGTGCTTTGAATGTGATCACCATGTATCAGCAAGACAGAGCTAACACAGAAACTAGTACTGTACGTATAAAATCCTGCCTACAGTACTCTTTCACTCTACGCTTACCATGACAAGTAGGCAGCAACTAGGGACGTGGTATTTTCAGACGGGGTACCTTTTCTTTGGAACACTCTTCGCAAGAAAATTCATCTTTTATAGTAAAGGTACTGGACTGTATCTGGTCTACTTGTGGTAAACAGATCTTTAATACATTAGATTCCTCTACCCTTCCACTAATGAAACTGAAATATTTTTAATCTCTTTCTGCTAAGTGAGGATGTTCCAATATCAGAACATGGGATATGGCTGAGGTGAGTAGCTGCTGTGGTAAAAGCTGCAGCTCCACTGTCATAATATTCCCAGCCACAATAATCTGGTGCTGCATAAGAAATCATAAACAATTTTGTGAATATTAAACTTATATTGGCATGGCCATTTTTAAAAACTGTCTTTAAAACTCCCCACAATTCCCATCACTTTTATCTTCTTGCACTTAAAATATTTTTGAAAACTCCACTCCCCGCCCAAAAAAAAGCATCAGAAATTCCCACCACTGTTACTACTCTTTGATTTCAAAGAGGTGGGGGGAAAGTACTGCGAAGTCAGAGAGATGACAAAAGCTTGGATTTCTTATGTGTACACTCCAAATCTTATAGCAGCCTTGACCTAAGCTAAAAAAAAAACAAAAACTAATAGTCCTGGGAGTATCACATGAGATTGCTTGTATCCTGTTTATTTGTGCATATTTATTCTATATTTGGCTTATATCTCCCAGAGGCAAGGAACAGCCATATCATGGCCGCTCTGTGTCAAAAGAGGAAACCTGAAGATATTGCTCCTAGGTTTCCTCTACACCTCTCCCCAGGATCCAAGTATGATGGCTACCCTGCCTTAAAAAAAGTTCTCTAACAAGAAATAAATAATGTAACAAATCAAAGTTTTTTGTAAGAATGGTACTGGTAACAATTCATTTTTTAGGGTTTAACATCTAATAAAGAATTAATTTTAAACACATCCCAAAATCTGGTCACCAAGATCAAGACACTTTGGGGAAATTATGTGTAAAGGATTGAAATGATACAGAGCCCCCCTATATCAGCCAACCAAGAGTAGCCAAGTCCAAATTACAGCTAAGCAGAATAATGCCCCTGATGGACAATCCATCTTACAGTACTTAGCTGAGGATGACTCACCTGCACAGTGGCTTGAGGAACCTGCCACCAACCTTTAGCTGCTGCATGGCAGACGTGTTTTGAGTTCTGTGGCTGCACAGCAGGGCTAGTCCTTCCAGAACTAAAACTGGAATGGCTGGAAATGGGCTGCTGGTTTGGGCACCTGGGCCACACAGTAAGCAAGGAAGCTATATACAAACCGTTCCACCCATAGACAGCCTCTCTATCTAAAAACGAAGACAATTCTCTTTTTAAAGACCTGTCCACTTTAAGGTCCAGTGACCTAAGCATTAAACAGAAGTGTGGCGTTTTGACTGCTGAGATGTTTGGTGGGGGAGCAGGCTCTTTGCTTGCTTTTATGCTATGGACTGTGGCTGGATTTCTTATTTACAGAAACAGAACATAGGTTTAAACAAGAAGACTCAAAGATGTATTTCAGTGTGATCTTTCATCAATAACAAGTAATTTCCTCAGTCACATGGATTAGGCCACAGGCATATGTACACAGAGGATCTACAGAGTGGAGTGGCAACCCAACAATGTCACCCACAATATCAGGGGTCCAATTATTTGTTCATCTGCTAATGTGACCTATGTCATCTTTTGCCAATAGTGTCCCTCTGCAATCTGCCTAAATAAATGGGATAGTCTCTACACAAGAAAATAAATGGATCCAAATTTGACATCAGTAATAGCAAGACATAAAAAACAACTTCAGAACAGTTTTCTAGGACAATGTAACAGATCTTACAGGAACTGTTGTGGAGAAAAGGATTTATAAAGAAAAATTTCAAAGGAGGGGAAAGACAGCTGAACTGGACTATATTCACACATTTCAATATACTGTTATATAATATTAAGTACAGGCTAAGGATTTTTAGCACGTTATATACACTGTATCTAGCTATCACCAAACAGTTTCTTTCCTTGACATAACATCAGCTTCAAGCAACTTTGTGAAAACAGCTCCTTCTGCATTTCAAGGTCAGGAACCTACCATTGGTATCAATTGACAGATAAGTCCACGAAAGCCCACATTAAAATGTAACAGTTAGTCTTTAAGATGCCAATGTTTTTGTTTTTTGTTTTTATGTTACAGTATATTTTAATGTCAGCTTTCATGGACAAGTCCACTTCTTCAAACATATGGAGTAAAATACAGAGTTCACAAGTAAAACATTCGTGCTGGATTTAAGAGTCAGTGGTGTGTGGTTGCTTCGGACACATGCAGTTATTTATGACCTATGTTTAGTGTTCAGCTCTTCTGAAGTCTGATTTTGTAAACATTTCCATAAGAGACAGAAAACAAAACTCAAGGCAAAGGGGAAGTGTTTTTGGGTGGTCCAGTAAAGACCAACTGCAAACAGTAAAATGATTAAAGGAAGTAAAGGGCAGCCCTGTGGTGCTTAACAAAATCCAAATGAAAAAAAAAGGTCATACCTTTATAGACCACTAAAAAAATGATCACACAATAAAAGAACTTCCATTAAAGGAAGTAAAGGGCAGCCCTGTGGTCCTTAACAAAATCCAAATGAAAAAAAAAAGTCATACCTTTATAGACCACTAAAAAAAATCATCACACAATAAAAGAACTTCCTTCGATCAAACTCCACTTCTTGTACCAGTGTGACGAACTTAAAATCCAAAACTTTAAAAAGTCCAAAAGTACAGGTCAAGACTTTTTTTCCCTGCCAGGAAAGCTGCTCTTAGATGTTATCAAAGGAGAACACCAGCGGACGTATAGAGAGTATGAACAATATTGAATACCGACTGTTACAGCTAAACACGCTCAAAATACAATTTATGGGGGAAAGAAGTGTGGGCAGGAGGAGAAGTTCTGGATTTAAAAAAAAAACAAACCACCTGGCTTTGGATATACCACACAAGGCCGTTGTGCAAAGCGGCAACGGTCAGAAGAGCCACGCGGATGTCCCATCTAAGATGTGGAGGAAGGCAGGCTGCCCACAACAAGCCTCCGACACCCTCCGGCCGGCAGGAGGAGGAAGAAGAGCCGGCAATGCCCCTCTCGCCCAGCAACCAGGGGGAGATCCCCACCTGCCCGTTTGGGGAGGATGCGGGAAGGACACAACCGCCCCCCCCTCAGCCCCTGGCGCTAGGCCAGGCTGCCCACAACAAGCCTCCGACACCCTCCTGCCGGCAGGAGGAGGAAGAAGAGCCGGTAAATGCCCCTCTCGCCCAGCAACCAGGGGGAGATCCCCACCTGGCTGTTTGGGGAGGATGGCGCTGGAAGACGGCTTCCCGTCCACTCCTGAGGCCGATCTTGGGGGGGGGTGATGTCCGTCGCACAGGTCGTCCCCTCCTTTGGACGAGGACCAGCCGAGCGCACCTCCCTGGCGGGAGCGGGGTCGTCGGAACCGCTCCTCTCCCGGCGCCCGGTTGCTCGCCTGCCCGGCGACAAGCG